AAAGAAAGATCTTTTTTTGCACATAATGTTCTCTCTTCAATCTCAGATGAATTTCCGCTCTCTACCAACGAACACCGTGAGGAAACTGCGCGTCGTGCAGTGTCAACGTTTTTTTTTTTATTATTATTATTTTGCTTTTAATTAAACCAACAAATAACCCCTAAAATTACACTGACATAAAATATGTAATGAAAAAGCAGAAATATTGTACATACATTTGCAGCTGGGAGGTGTGTGCGTCTTCCTTTTCTTCTTCTTCTTCTTCTTCTTCTTCTTTCTCCAAGCAGAAAAAAAGCCTTTCTGTCATTGGTCAGGTTTCCCGCTCATTTTTTTTTGACTGTATTCGGATTTACAGTAAATGAAAAATACTGTATTTTAATGGCGCCAAGAGGATATTTCCCATAATGCAACTTTAAAATACAGTAACATACTGTGTAACTGGTTTACAGTAAAGTACAGTTCATATTACAGTTAAATACTCTGTAATTTACAGAAATCGCTAACAGTGTGTAGTTAAACATTCTCCAATAATATTTGTTTTATTTACAAATTTATCTTAATTTTGAACTTAATCAGAGGAGAAACTGCATACATTATGTGATTTCTTTTTTAAATCTCTCTGTCTTTATTTGTTATTAAAGCTGTTAATCTAAAATCATGAATAACAAGTCCTTATATTGTTCAAAGTTAACAAATGCAGTAAATAGCTAACATGTTCACTACTGTACTGTATATACAGTACACACCAATTTATTTGTTCATCATTTGTAGCATCAATTATGAATGTGTACAAGAAAGCAAATATACAATGCAAATCAATTTAACAGTAAATGTATATAACAACCTCTTGTAAGATTGCATCGATTTTACAGAGCTTGCAGAGCTTTTTACATGCAATTTCAGTGATCAGTTTATCGTACAGACACTTTAACATTGCATTCATTTTTTTTGTTGTTGATGAAAATCAGTATATGCAATGTTCCAACGGGTTTTTTAATACATAATACATACACCGAATACATAGAAATTTCTTCACCATTGGAGTAAATAAGCCTGCTGTGTCGATTCTGGGGTTCTGTGTTGTTCTTACAGTAAGTCCATTTCATTTTCTTCTGAATTTTATCCCCATAAAAACATAAAACACAGGATTCAGGGAGCAGTGTGAGAAAGCCACCTTACGAGAGACATACAAGCTGTTAATCTAAAATCATGAATAACAAGTCATTATGTTGTTCAAAGTTAACAAATGCAGTAAATAGCTAACATGTTCACTACTGTACTGTATATACAGTACACACCAATTTATTTGCTCATCATTTGTAGCATCAATTATGAATGTGTAAAAGAAAGCAAATATACAATGCAAATCAATTTAACAGTAAATGTATATAACAACTTCTTGTAAGATTGCATCAGATTTTTAGAGTTTTTTTACATGCAATTTCAGTGATCAGTTTATCGTACAGACACTTTAACATTGTTTTTTTTTTTTTGGATGAAAATCTGTACATGCAATGGTCCAACCTAGGGTTGTTTTTTTTGTTTTTTTTTTAAGTGTAGATACCTAATACATAGATATTTCTTCACCATTGGAGTAAATAAGCATGCTGTGTCGATTCTGGGGTTCTGTGTTGTTCTTACAGTAAGTCCATAACATTTTCTTCAAGTGGTTTCTGAATTTTATCCCCATAAAAACATAAAACACAGGATTCAGGCAGCAGTGTGAGAAAGCCACCATCCGAGAGACATACATCAAATAGTCTATAGATTCACTCAGCTTACAATCATTAAAAGGAGAGATTTTCCACGAAATCAGAGAGTCCAGAAATATGGCCACGTTGTACGGCCCCCATCCCAAGAAGAAAAACACCACAATGAAGAGGATGAGCTGCACCGTCTTTCTACGAGTGTGAGATGTTGGTCGAAGCAGCCGTCCCAAGATCACAGTGTAGCAAAAAGCAATGATCACAAAAGCGATAATGAAAAAGGAATTTTGCAAGTATGTACTTGCCAATTTCCAATTAATTTCACCAGCAAAATCACAGAGCAGAACTGCATTGGTGCCGTTGTTTTGAGCATCAATGAATACATCAGTTGGGTTGTACACAACTGAGTTGAACCTGGCTTGTGGGATAGCAGCACAAAGACTGATGATCCAGATGACAAGTGATGTCACATAGCAGTGCAGGCTCTTCCTAGACATGACCACTGACATGGGATGAACCACGGCCATGTAACGGTGGATGGTCAAAACCGTCAGGAAGATGATGCTGCTGTAATATCCCGTGTAGAACACAAAGTTAACTGCTTTGCAAGCAGGATCTCCAAGAGTCCAGCCATATATGTAGTAGTAAGCCCAGAAGGGCAGGCCAAAGGTGAAAATCAGATCAGAGAGAGCCAGATTTAACAGAAATGTGTTAGTAAGGGATTTCAGATTTTCATACTTCACAAGGACCCACACGACCAGAGTGTTTCCCACACAGCTGAACAGAACGATGATGATGAAAATGACTGGAGTGATGGCTGTCGCAAACTGGATGGCATTTTTCTTGATACAGATGCCATCATCAATGCTGTCATTGGTGAAATTGTAATCATAATAGTCTAAAGTGGAAGATATTTCATACTGATATTCAGTGATTGGTTGGACTTTCATCTTGATGCATAAATGTACACTGAAAACAAATTGGAGACCATTTTTACTCAGAAAATTTCACATATGATTACAAAAAACAACAGTAAAACAAACAAAAACAGCAAGTAACACATTGTATTAAATCTATCTATTTATCTATCTATCTGATCTTAATAACTTAAATATTAAACATTAACCGAAGAAATAATCAATGATTGCATTGATAATTATTGCACATATTTTTAATGTGCACTTCAAAAATATTGAGAGCATAACATTAATGGAAATATAACATTTCTTGTACTATATTATACAAAAATATTTATCTCAGTGGAATTTATAATCTGTTTTCTGACTTCTGAGTTATCACTTACCTTTATGAAATTCTCCAGAGAAAATGTTACTGTAATGGTTGATCGCAGACTGAGTGAGTGTTAAATAAAAAAAAAACTATGAAACTTTCTAGATTGGTTATTGTTCCTATTAGTATCAGTAGAGTACAACCCACCAAAAAAATGATGCTCAGATCCCCCATCCTCAAAACCAAAAAAAAAAAAAAACAGTAGGTCCATGTCCTATTTTCTGTTCCTTTATAGCCTACCATAAATTAATTCGCAAGATCCCGAGGCCTTGCCCTTAGTCAGAAAAGGACTTGAATCAAGAAAGGTGAAAGAAAAATAAAATAAAATAAATCACACTGAGTTGACCTATATTTATATTTAATATGGATTAGGTTAAATGTATGATTAAAATAAAAAGTAAGACTCTATGCATCAGCCATGTTACTATCATCTCTTTTTAAAAAAGAACCTGCTTCATAAAATGACTCTTCAGAAGCAATTGCTAAAACTAATTGTTGATGGTTATTGGTTTTGGTCGTTTTCTAGCTATACAGTAGCACATGTTAAATCATAACATATATATGTAAACACCTGAAATGTGTGATGCACTCATTACATCACATGACACTACTTGTTTATTTACTGCGGTTTTTTGTTTCGCAACCAAACTTGATGAGCTCCGAAGAATCTGCTGTTTCGTTTTCGCCTCTGATTGGATTAGCTTGCTGTCAGTCAATCTTAGTACCGCCCCCTGTAATGGCAGCAGGGTTGGCTCTACTGTAAATAATCGATGAGGAAGATCAGCTTTCTGTATTAAGTATGTCTTTATTTACATCTATATATCATTATTTACATATGTTTATCAAATATACATTTGTTTATACTGACGATAGGTTGACAGTTGTGGCAGAAATGTGATAAAACGCTAAACGCTAAAGTTGTAAAGTTCAGCAGGTGCGTCTCTCTACCTAGTCTCATTATAATATTTAAATATTACAAATGTCATTTATAATTCTAGTCTGTAATCATGGTGATCATAATATTGTTCAGGGAATTGTGAATTTTGGGCTGTGAATTTCCCTACGTTTAAAAACAAAAGTAAAACTCTCTAGTGCACCTGCAGTCACATCAAAATAATCACAACACAAGATTACTCTAGTACATTATTAGTTTTATTTTATGATGCAAATACGTTTAGAATTAAATTGGTAAAAATATGGGATGTTTTTTTTTTTATCACATTGCTTCCTATACCATCATAAACTGTTTAGTGTTTTACGGTTTACTGTTTTATTGTTGTCTTTATTCTTTTAGTGCAACCATGTTTTTTTCCTTTGCTTTTACAGGCATAATGTTGACTTTATGAATCATCCACACTAACATATTCAGTCTACCATGAGTACAGTGGGAGAAAATCAGCTGCAGAGAATAATCAGAGATCTGCATGGTAAAATCACACACTCAGTGTGATGTATTGCATGTGTGAACAGTCATGTGCAGTGTCATGTGTCATGAGTCTCTTGACACTGTGATTGGCCAATAACTTTTTTTTAGCTTATACTAGAGACACTGCAAAATCTCCCCACATATTCTGAATTCTCTGTTATCACAGCACATGAAATATAGTCATATCTAGGTATTCAGCAAGCATGTATCTCCATGTGTACTTTTAGTTGTGATCGTGATCTTTGACATTTGATCCAATGGTGATGATTATTCAGTATTAATGTTTCTTATAATTGTCATAGAAAACCTAGAAATATCTAAAAAAAACTTAAACTTGTGATTTCCAGACCTTCATAAGTCATGGAGACCCTAAAATGTTTTTGAAATTTGGAAACTTGTTGTACCCAACTCTAAAATGTTAATGCAGTTTCCTATAAAATAAAACCGTCAAGTCCTTTTTTAGGAGATTGTACAAATAACTGCATATGTTTGAATCTAGCCTATATTGCACTACTCCAAACACAATTTAAACATCCTGCTGGAGCTCAGATTCAAATATATTTGTGCAGATGCAGTTTCTGAGCTGAGCAAAGAACATCGTGATACTGGCGAGCCCATCACTGATGACAGCTCCAGCCTTCACAAGTTTTGCTATAAACTGGAGTACCTACTGCAGGTACGGCACAATCTTTAAAGTCATTTTACATTTAATGTTTGCGTTTTCTTTGTTCATCAGGAACTCTTTCTCAAAGTTATTTTATATCTAGGCCAGTGTGGGGACATAATTTCATTAGTTTTTTTTAAATAATTGGTTAAATACATTAATTTCATCTTAATTTTGATGTTTAATTTGAGTTAAGTTTTATTTTAGTATTAGTTATATACTGTTATAGTATTCATTCATATTTTGAATGAACTTTTTTATATTTTGAGTTTTTAGTTTAATTTTAGTTTAAAGGGGTCATATGATGCTTTTTTAAAGATCGCGCTCTCTCTCTCTCGCTCTCTCTCTCTCGCTCTCTCGCGCGCTCTCTCTCTCGCTCGCTCGCGCACGCACACACACACACACACGATGCGCAAAACTCCGCATTTGAACAGACAATAGCAAATACTTAAACTAATGACATGGCTGCTTCAACACTAACTGCGGTTACTGAAACCACGCCTTCTTTCTTTGCGTGCACATTTGGGCGGCATTATGCAAATATTTCCACATAGTGAGGTAGATATGTGGGGGCGTGTTAGAACGAGCCGTTTTAGGGGGGCGTGGCAGAGTCTTAACTTTGATAAAGAATATCTCTTTGGTTTTGAGACTTTAGTCTTTGCAACTTCAGGGATCTTATCTATGCACAATCAGCTTGTAACACTCCAAAGAGAAAGGAAAACTTGAAATCGCATCATATGACCCCTTTGAGTTTTAGTAATTTTGATATGTGCTTTTGTAATTTTTATTACATAGCTTTGATTCATTTTTATTTCAGTTTTAGTTTTAGTAATTCTTCTACTTCAACTTGATTTAGTTCAGTTAGTTGCCAAGGCCACATTTCTAGTTTTTTGTTTCTAATTTGTAAGTTTTTCATGTAATATTTATTCCCAGATTTATTTCAATTACCAGTTATAATACAACTGCAATATACAGTATATCAATTCTGCAGATTTTTTGTCCCACAATCAGTGAAAAAAAGTATGTGAAAAAAGTTTCTTGTGGAACTAGATATTACAAAAAAAGTCTTTACAAAAAGTAGAATATCCTGTGAAATTCAGTTGTTACCGCTTAACTAGTTTCTCATTATTTACCATAAAAATGATGGTGACCTGGATGACTGGGGATCTCTGCATTCATATTTAACCAGACATCATGTTTAGAGTGACTGCTTTGAGATGAACCTTTTGACCCTTGTGTCCAGTTTGACCAGAAAGAGAGGACCACATTTCTGGGCAGCAGGAAAGACTACTGGGACTATTTCTGTGACTGCTTGGCCAAGATTAAAGGAGCTAATGACGGCATTCGCTTTGTCAAATCAATCCCCGAGGTAATCCACTGCACGAGCCCAAAACTCTGCTATAAAACTCATCTCTTCAGCCAGTGCGTGTTTGGCTCCAGCCTACCTTCTCATTTCTCTTTTGCACTTTCATGTTGCTGGTTTTCTGACGTTTATTTTTTTTTACATCCGTTTTTTATCTGCACCTCTCTCGAGGGTTTGAAGCAGGAAGCAGTGACACTCAGCCTCAGGTTGGTCATGTGTTATAGGCATTCGACTAGCAGTAGAGACTCATAACTGTACATTATACAGACAGGCACGTTACAGTATTCCTTTAACAAGGCAGGTGATGTTTAGTGCTAAGACGTGAATAACTATTACCATTTCTCATACTGTGGGAGACGAACCACTAAGCTAAAATATTAAACTTTTTTGAGCTTAAGTATTAAATAAACTATTAAGCTTAAGTATTAACCTTTAAGTATCACATTTTTCCGTGCATCTTATCCTGCATCATTTGTGCTACTGTGACATAGTACTTCAAATTCTGTAGCTTGTTGAAGATAGATGTGTGCTATTACTTTTTTAATTGACCATACTTGATTTTTCACATAGATTTACATTGAAGGTGGGACCTGAGAGAATATTATAGAGGAGAGCTGTTTTGACTCCTTTTTGGATCTTAGCCAGAAAGAAACCACCCGGAACACCCTAAAAACCACCTAGCAATCACCCACAACATGCAGATATTTTTCAGACTCTCCTATATAGAATAAAGGTGATCATTCTCTTTGTGTACTGTTCCTGACATAATCAGTTTAAGACATTAACTTGTATTACTCAGATTATAATTTAATTATTATTAGGGCAATCTCTTTTTCTCATTTCAAGAACAACTTTCACTAATGCATACGAAAAAGTCTTCAGAATTCATGTGTTAGCGAAACGCAGCTTTTTGTGAGTCTCGAATCCAGAACAAATCCAGAAATCCAGCGTCAGCTGTATAGTGTAACGTTTCCATCTGGTGTCCTTATGCTCTTTGGTCACCCACTGTAATCCTCCATCTGCTGTCCCACTGACAGACATTGTTTGTGTTTAGATTGGCATATTACCATACCATCTCATACAGTATTTTTCAGCATGCACTGTGTACTACACTAGGTACATTAGTCAAATTTAGTGTATACATGGAATACAGAAATGTCATATTATTGCATTTGCCAAAATGTACAGCATAAAACTAGATCACACTGCACTGAATACTGTATCCCATGATGCAGTGCACTCAGCTTTACCTTCATAATCAGTGTGCCAACAGAATCAGAATCTTTTCTTGATTCATTATTTGATAATAAATAATTTGTAATAATAATTTGATAGCAGACTGCCAGCAGTTTGATGGTTTTATACTTTTATACCCATCTCCTCCTTTTTATGCCTATTTATTTATTTATCTTTCTGTCTAATAGGGGGGTTAGAGGAGCTCGAGATTAAGCTTAAGTATTAACCTTTAAGTATCACATTTTTCCGTGCATCTTATCCTGCATCATTTGTGCTACTGTGACATAGTACTTCAAATTCTGTAGCTTGTTGAAGATAGATGTGTGCTATTACTTTTTTAATTGACCATACTTGATTTTTCACATAGATTTACATTGAAGGTGGGACCTGAGAGAATATTATAGAGGAGAGCTGTTTTGACTCCTTTTTGGATCTTAGCCAGAAAGAAACCACCCGGAACACCCTAAAAACCACCTAGCAATCACCCACAACATGCAGATATTTTTCAGACTCTCCTATATAGAATAAAGGTGATCATTCTCTTTGTGTACTGTTCCTGACATAATCAGTTTAAGACATTAACTTGTATTACTCAGATTATAATTTAATTATTATTAGGGCAATCTCTTTTTCTCATTTCAAGAACAACTTTCACTAATGCATACGAAAAAGTCTTCAGAATTCATGTGTTAGCGAAACGCAGCTTTTTGTGAGTCTCGAATCCAGAACAAATCCAGAAATCCAGCGTCAGCTGTATAGTGTAACGTTTCCATCTGGTGTCCTTATGCTCTTTGGTCACCCACTGTAATCCTCCATCTGCTGTCCCACTGACAGACATTGTTTGTGTTTAGATTGGCATATTACCATACCATCTCATACAGTATTTTTCAGCATGCACTGTGTACTACACTAGGTACATTAGTCAAATTTAGTGTATACATGGAATACAGAAATGTCATATTATTGCATTTGCCAAAATGTACAGCATAAAACTAGATCACACTGCACTGAATACTGTATCCCATGATGCAGTGCACTCAGCTTTACCTTCATAATCAGTGTGCCAACAGAATCAGAATCTTTTCTTGATTCATTATTTGATAATAAATAATTTGTAATAATAATTTGATAGCAGACTGCCAGCAGTTTGATGGTTTTATACTTTTATACCCATCTCCTCCTTTTTATGCCTATTTATTTATTTATCTTTCTGTCTAATAGGGGGGTTAGAGGAGCTCGAGTAGAATAGTCTCTCTGAGCCCTCCATTGCAGACATCAAGCCAAATCTGTTTACCACTAATGCTAAGATTACGTGGGCACACAAACTCGTGAAACATGAACTATAATGTAGAGATGTTTATGTTTAAGCAGATAATCTGCTCACTGACCTTTGAACTAAGTTATACTGTTTCCTTTGAAAACTCAAAATTGATTGCCAGTTGTTTCTAGCTCTTTTGTGATGTTCATACGTGTTGTTATCGTTATGCAACATGTCATCTCATTCCATTATCATAAGAATCTTATGTGTTTTTCAGATTGTCATCAACAAAATGAGAAGCTGTAGTGTTGTGAGCAGAAACTTGTGTAATTTATACAAAGTTAACCAGAACATATTTAATGCTCAGGTCTCATTTCAAAACATGCATATAATCCTTATTAAATACAAGGCCTTTTTGTTTACTTTGTGTGATTTAGCTGAAGACATCATTAGGGAAAGGACGGGCTTTCATTCGCTACTGTCTGGTGCACCAAAGGCTGGCAGACACTCTTCAGCAATGTCTTATGAACTACAAAACCACATGGTAATATATTCAACAAAAACATCTTAGTGGGAACTTAGTGCTCCATATGCGTAGCTTTGCTAAAGTACAAAAGTCATTTGTATTTTCAGTAAATGTCTAGTAAAATGTGTATGATTTGACATAAAAAAAAAACATATAAAGTATTAAAGAATTAATATTTAAAATGCAAAAAATTATAATAATAAAAATGACAAAAACAAACTTACTAAACTGTTGCCTAAAATTAAAATTAAAACAATAAAACTAAAAATGAATTAAAAATATCAATAAAAACTATAAAAAACTATCTCCATTATACTAAAATAACACTGATGTGATGCACGTATGCCTCAGACTTACAATCAGACATGTAAACAACCGTTTTGGTGGAAAGTGCAACCACATTTGGCTTTAAAGTGTGGTCAAAATGTCACACGAAAACAAAGCGTATGCATGAAAAGAGTTGCATGCTCTGCTAGCCAACTTTAGAAGGTTTAGATTTCAGCAAATTAGTCTGCAATAAATTGCAATTAATTAATTTTAATATTAATTCGTATTTATTTTGTTTTTGCACATGACACAACATAGTCATTTGAATAGAGCATGTTTATGCATTAATGCAAATCTGCTCTTTATTTAACAGACCTGAAAGTGTTGATTCAGAGCAAACTCATCCACACATTAATTTCTCTTCCTCCCTCCGCTTTCACTTCTCTGAAACAAGAAACTTCTTGTCTCAAAGTAGCATGCATACATGTAATGTCAGTGATTTTTATTATAGTACTTACAACTCAGTTATCCAAAGTCCAGTGTTTTTTATGTTACAAAAGCAAAGCTAAAGGTACATTTTAATTTAGAAATGCACAGGGTATAACATCTCTGAGAAACAAGTATTCTGAAAACCCCAGTCTTGTTTACGAGTGGTAATGATTTTTGTTTGTCATTCACAGTGAGTGGTATTATGAACGCAGTCCCTTCCTGAAGTCCCATCTGAACATTGATCTCATCAACCACCTGTATGAACTCAATGAGGTCCAGTTTGATGTAGCATCCCGAGGTCACGACCTTGACTCTGACTGGCCCACTTTTGCTAGGTAATTCATGAGAATTCAACCCATGCATGTTACAATAGTAAAGTCCCCATTGCAACACATTTAGACTGTAAGACATTTAAGCAGTTGCATTTTGCAGATTGCCTGCGTTGCGAATGAACTAATGTTAGTAAAACAAATGACATGGTTTTTATATGCATTTCATGCATACAGAAAGACTCTGGGATCAGCTATCTCACCCGCCCATGCGTGGAAACCACCCAGTCGCTGCTCTAGTGTCAACAGTCTGGTTAGCAGTTACTCACAGGTTTGGTAACACATTAGAAACACCTTAGACTATAGAAACCTCATTAAAATGATCTCTTCTGTTCATATCCTCATTATCTCTGGTTCTGTACCTAATATGTAATATACATAAATTAATTCCGTGTTTCTTTTTCTAGCTTTAAAAAGTAATGTTTCAGTTTTGAGTTACCCATAAAAAGTAACTAAAACCCCACTATAGAGGAGTGTTATTTCATTATTATTTATATACTATAATAGTAACTATATATTAATATTTTGAATATAATAAATATATATATATATAAATATATATATTTATTTATATATAA